GGAACCTCAAAATTGAGTTGGGGCTTTTGCTCAACGTCCTGTTCTAAGTCTAACGAGCTCGATGGTATTACTTATAATTTGCTCAACGTCCTGGGCAGCCACGGGAGGAAAAAGGAAGGGGAAAAAAGAAAAAGAAAAGAAAGAAAAGAAAAGGAAAAGAAAGAAAACAAAGAAATAGGAAAAATAAATAAATAAATAAATAAAAATACATTAAAATTAAGTGTATTTTTAAAAACTTTTGAGGTGAAAATTGAAAAACTGAAAGTAATTTATAATTTCTTAAAATAACTCGAAAACTTAATCTTTAATCACAAGATTAATCAGAAAAAAAAAATCAATTTTAGGCACACTAATATACACAATTAACATAATTAAACATGTTTAATTCTAGAGGGCGTTACAGCTCTACCCTCCTTAAGAAATTTCATCCTCGAAATGGGAACTTACCTCAGGATATGAATAGATGTGGATATCGTTCTTGCATCGTTACTTCCAGTTCTAACGTCGCTTCCTCAACGCCATGGTGTTGCCACAACACCTTCACTAGCGGAATCTCGTGACAGCGTAAACTCTTCATCTTCCAATAAAGAGTTTGAACTAGTGCTTCCTCATAAGTCATGTCATATTGGATCGACACGTCGTACCATTGTACAATAGCTTCCGGATCGGGTTTACACTCACGAAGCATAGAAACATGAAACACATTGGGCACGTGAGGTGCTTCCGGATCGGGTTTACACTCACGAAGCATAGAAACATGAAACACATTGGGCACCTGAGGTAACTCAGGTGGTAAGGCGAGTCAATAAGCAACGACACCGACTCATTGCACGATTCGGAATGATCCAATTTGTGTATAGATACTTTATTTTTATTTTTTATACTTACTTTGTTTTAGTTCTTAATCATCATCTTATTAGGTTGCCTAGATAAAGTTAAGTTACAATAATCACAGTACTTAACGGCAATTCTAAACCCAATCCCTGTGGAGACGATACTCACTCACCCTATACTCAAAACTTGACACCGTACGCTTGCGGAAATTTATTATACAAAAATATTAAGCATCAAGTGCGAAACATATAAAAAGGAAATATCACCTGATCAGAGACATTGTGGATAGAGGCGATGTAGCGATTCTGAAGATTGCGTCAGAGAACAACCTTGCTGACCCGTTCACCAAGACATTGCCATTGAATGTATTTAATCGGCACTTAGATGAATTTGGGATTAGAGACATGACACACTTGCTTTAGGACAAGTGTGATATTGTTAGGAATAGTGTCCTAGAAGCATGAGATGTAATAAGATATTTATTATTTAATTAATAAAAGAGTTTATTCATTATTTTATGTGCATATATTTATGAATATTTTATGAATATCAAATGAAAATTCTGTGATTATTTATGTAACCTTAAACATTGTATATAAGTGTTATATATGAGAGGATAATGTATAAGGATAATAATAAAAAATGTTATTCATAATGAATTTAATTAAAGTTCAGAATCTTTAATTAAAACTTTATTAATACATGTCATTTTCATTTAGAATGGAACAGTGCTATCCGCACTGCTAATATGGTGAAATATTGAATAAGTGTATTTCGCATAATGAGATTGTGTGGAACAGGGACACAGACACAATATGAATTTCTAATAATTTTCGTTAAGCATAGAAATTCTAATTGAGTCTACCGATGGTCATATATAGAATAGCCAAATCCATGATTCAAGAGAAGTTTGTTAGAAATCTTACCTCAAATCCTTCTCTTCATGACGCTGAAAATTTCTTGAAATTCTTCTTTGGTTTGGAATCCGATTGATTTGAGGCAAAAGCGGGAGAGAGAGAGAGAGAGTGAGAGGACGAGAGTGAGTGAGAGAATGAGAGTGAGAGAGAGAGCGTGTGCACGGGAAGGGAAAGAAAAATGAAGAAAAAGAAAAAGGAAAAGAAATGAAAATGGAAAGAAAAAAGGTGCCAAAAATATTTAAGAAGACAGTCTTGGAAATATGTCTACACACACTCCTGGGGTAAAAATATAATTACTAAAAATTTTTAAATTCCTTTGAAATATTTAAATTTACAGGTCAGAAACATTTATTAATCAATGATTAATTAATTAAACCAGATTAGGCACACTAATAAATCTTAATTAGCTTAATTAATCTTGTTTAATTTCTCGAGGTGTTACAACTCCACCCCCTTAAGGAATTTCATCCTCGAAATTAGGACTTACCTCAAAATGCAAATAGATGCAGGTACTGCTTTTGCATCGTCATTTCAAGCTCCCATGTCGCTTCCTTAACTCCATGGTGCTGCCATAAAACTTTTACTAAGGGAATCTCATGTTGACGTAAGCTCTTCATCTTCCGATCAAGAATCTGAACTGGGGCTTCCTCATATGTCGCATCATACTATATCAGAATGTCACACCATTGTACCACGGCTTCCGGATCTGGTTGATATTTATGAAGCATGGAGACATGGAACACGTCACGCACGTGAGATAACTCAAGCGGTAAAGCCAGATGATACGCCACGACACCAACTCGTTGCACGATCGGTAATGGTCCAACATACCTTGGCACAAGTTTTCCTTTTACTCCAAAATGAACAACTCCTTTGCGTGGGGAAACCTTCAACAAAACAAAGTCACCTTCCTAGAATTCCAAAGGCCTACGCCTTCTGTCAATATAGCTCTTTTGACAATTTTGAGCCGTTAACAATCGTTCCCGAATAAGAGCTATCTTCTCATTATTCTCTTGAATAACTTCTGGTCTAGTAGTAAGTCGATCTTCTGGTTCCGGCCAACAAACAGGTGATCTACAACATCGACCATAGAGAGCTTCGAACGGAGCCATGCCAATATTGGCCTGATAGCTATTATTGTTAGCAAACTCTGCAAGGTGAAGATATTTCTTCCAGTTTCCACAAAAATCCTGAATACAAGCACGAAGCATATCCTCTTGAATTTGAATAAATCTTTCAGATTGCCCATCAATCTGAGGATGAAATGCTGTGCTAAAATTCAATTTTGTTCCCATGGCTTCCTGAAAGCTTTTCCAATACCTTGTATTAACATGAGTGTCGCGATCGGATGTGACAGAGAATGGCACTCCATGAAGTCTAACGATATGCTCCAAGTACAACTCTGCCATAATTTTTCAGGAATACGTCACATGGAATGGTATGAAGTGTGCAGATTTCATTAACCTGTCTACCAGCACCCAGATGGCATCGTGTTTCTGCTTAGTCCTCGGGAGTCCCATCAAAAAATCTATGGTGATGTGTTCCCATTTCCATCCTGGGACAGGTAGAGACTGCAACTCTCCCGTAGGTTTCTGGTGTTCTGCTTTAATTCAGAGACAAGTTACACATTCTGAAACATGTTCACGAATGTCTTTCTTCATACCACTCCACGAGTATTATCTTTTCAGATCTGGTACATCTTCGTACTTCCCGAATGAATAGCGTACCAGGACTTACGGGCCTTATGCAGAATTGTCTTCTTGATCTCATCCACCTTAGGAACAGCTAGGTGGTTGCGAAAGTAAAGTGCTCCGTCCTCTAAGATTCTCCAATCCTCAAGTTGCTCTCCATTTTGGATTCGAATCCAAATTCCTTGGAGATGAGGATCTTGCCATTGATTCTGCTTAACTTGTTACACAAGGGCCGGTGTGCAGATCAAATTATACACCATTGCCTAGTTATAATCCTTGTAGTACTGAAGATCATAATCACTTATTACTTTAGTTCTTTTCCAATCTTCTATAGCTAATGACGCCATAGTTCCTGTAGCCTTCTTGCTAAGGGCATCAACTACCACATTAGCTTTTCCTGGATGATATTGTAGCATGAAGTCATAATCTTCCATGTATTTCATCCATCTCCTCTGCCTGAGGTTCAGATCCTTCTGAGTAAACAAGTACTTCAAACTCATGTGGTTAGAGATAACCTAAAACTTTCCTCTATAGAGATAACATCTCCATATCTTTAGAGCAAATATCACTGATGCTAATTCCAAATCATGAGTAGGGTAATTCCATTCATGTGGCTTTAATTGGCGATATGCATAAGCTACAACGCGCCCACCTTGAATTAAAACACAACCAAGGCCACTCTTTGAGGCGTCAGAATATACCTCATATGGCTCTTCACTATTAGGTATAGTTAGGACTGGGGCACTTGTCACTCTAGTCTTCAATTCCTGAAAGCATCTTCACATTCAACGTCCCATTCGAATCTAACTTCTTTCTTAGTCAACCGAGTCATCGGTGCAGGAATGCTCAAGAAGTCCTTTACGAAACGCCGATAGTACCCTGTAAGTCTGAAACTCTGCCACATTCTTCGGCCTTTCCCACTGTAACATTGTCTCAATCTTTGAAGGATCTACGAAAATTTCTTGTCCTGATATTACATGTCCAAGGAACTTCACTTCTGTCAGCCAGAGGCCACACTTTTCTTTCTTCGCATACAATTGGTGTTCACGAAAAGTTTGAAGAACAATTCTCAAGTGATGCTCATGTTCTTCCTAAGTCTTCAAGTAAACCAGAATGTCATCGATGAAAATAATTACAAACTGATCCAAGTAAGGCCAGAAGACCCGGTTCATTAAATCCATGAATGCAACTGGGGCATTCGTCCACCCGAAAGGCATCACTAGAAACTCAAAATGCCCATACCGAGTTCTAAAAGCAGTTTTTGGAATGTCTTCCTCCTTAATCTTTAGCTGATGATATCCTGACCTCAAGTCAATCTTAGAGTAATACTGTGATCCACCCAACTGATTGAATAACTCATCGATCCTCGGCAGTGGGTATTTATTCTTCACAGTTATTCTATTCAATTGACGATAATCAATGCACAACGAAGAGAACCGTCGTGCTTCTTCACAAACAACACAGGTGCACCATATGGGGAAATACTATTCCCGATATACCCTTTTTCTGCTAAGTCTCTGAGCTGCTTCTTTAATTCTTTCATTTCTGCCAGTGTCATTCAGTAGGGAGGAATAGAGATAGGAGTCGTTCTCAAAATCAAGTCAATACTGAATTCAATTTCTCGGTCTGGCGGTAAACTGGGTAACTCATCAGGAAATACATCCGCAAATTCATCCACCACAGGAATTCCCGTATTGTCTCCAATTACCTCGGGTTCACCTTTTAAAGTAAGAAGGAAAGAAAAGCAGGCTAGGTTCCTACATCCTCTAACACTGTATCTTAACAGTCGTTCTTCCAGGACTGGGTTCATGTCTGCTTGATAGGTGATCATCAAAGTTACTCTCCTACGGTAGCAATCAACAATTGCACCGTATTTTGAAAGCCAATCCATTCCGAGCACTACGTCAAACAGACTCATCGGAAGGATAATTAGATCAGCTCTTAATCGTTCACCTCCAATCATGATTTCACACAATCTACATACACTAATCAGCTCCACACAGCCCAGTGGGTAGTTCAACATCATCAGGGTTTCCAAGCTCTCAACTTTCAATTTCAAAGTTTGAACAAAAGAACTTGATATAAAAGAATGAGTAGCACCGGTATCAAAAAACACATGTGCTAAAGAGTGGGAGATCAGAATTATACCCTCAACCATAGTGTTGTTGGCATGTCCTCCAGAATTGCCTCCTGTCAGGGCATAAGCTTGTCCATGTGCTTTCTCCTTTCCTTTATCAGCAATATTAGGCCTCCTGGTTCCTGGCCTATATTGTTGTGGCGGAGGTATCGGCACCGGTCCCGATGTTTGAGGTTGAAACTATGGATAATAGGACGGTCGGTATGATGGCGCAGGAGGAAATGGCATTAGTGCTGGCAGCTGTGGCTGGTAAGGTGGCACAAACTGCGGTGATCTTTCTTGACCGTAAGAACCATCACTCTGAGATTGCTAGGTCGGTGGCCGATTCCGATTAGGACAGTTCCTCCTAATGTGGCTAACTTGCCCGACCACTCTTGTCACTTCCAGATGAACTACTGCCACCATTGATCATCTCTCTACTAATCTGTCCCTAATTACGGGTTCTTCTATAACTCCGCTGTGGCCCGCTTGAAGCAGAAGGTCTGCCAGAAACAGAAACCTGACCAGCTGCTTCCTTACTTTGATAATAAGCTAGATTATCTTGCTCCATGCTTGTAGCAGTAGCCACGAAGTCTCAAAAATTTTGAATTCTCAGAGCCACCAATGGTCTCCTTACAAAATTCTTAACTATGGGGATAGGCCCACGTCTAAATTCACAAAAATAACTCTGCTTCCTCCCCTCGGCCGATCGCTCATTCTGAGCTCGAGTGGCCATCCCTTGGAAAGCAGCATACATGGCATCCATGAATTCTTGACTCTATGGTGCTAGTTGGTTAACGAATCTATGACGCGGTGACATCTCCTTTAACTAAAAAGAAACTAGGCTATTTAGTGGATTCTTGATGTCACACATGTATGTACAATCCTGTAGTTTATAAACCTAATGCTCTAATACCACTTTGTCACGCCCCGAAGCTGGGGTTAGTGACGTGGAGGCTCATTTAGAAGTTAAACCTAATTAGGAGAGTAATTAAACAATTGGAAATATAGTAATTAAAACCAAAAGTAAATTATTAAAGAGATTTCTAAACGAGCACCACATTTAGCTAAAAATAAATTCCAAGCAAGTTACGGGGTCTGCCGAACTTTCTGATTTCAAGAGGTAAAAACTTGAGCCTCTAACATCATTCAGGGCTTCACCCACAGGATATATAGTATTGTACATACATGAACATGTAAATAACGTTACAGACATCAACCACAGTCTAGAAATCCAAAGTTCAGAGTTTACAGAATTCACAATTCTTACATTTGTACACAAGGAGGATGATCACAATCCTCACTAAATCAGGTGGTAGCAACTAACTCAGCTATTCCGCACTGCTCATAGCATTGCCTGGGAGGGATTTAATATTTATGAGATAAATAAAATGTGAGCGAAAGGCCCAGTAGGATGTATTTTTAAATAAGTTTTGTAAACAAGTAAATAAATGAATGAACAAGTAAATAGATGAATAAATAAATAAAAGTAGACATTCAGTTCCAAGACAACAGCCAGAACCTCACATCCTTTTTCTGAAAGGAATATAAACTGAAAATTCTATATTACACGCATCAGCAAGTAACTTATCCTTTGATAAATTACTTACACAACCACAAGCACAAGCCTTAACACCACCATAGTGGCCCGGTCCGGGTTTGAGGTTCTGCCCCCAAGGATACACTCTCCATATCCTATCTAGGCCATCAGCCAGTTTACCAATTCGCAAGATCTCTTATCTTAAGAAATCATTCATTAAACTTTCTGAAATAGTTCATTATAATTCTAATAGCTAAAATCAAGCTATTGTTTTTAAAATGCTTTTCTTTTGCAAACATGCCCTTTCTTTAAAACATTTGCAAGGACAAAACTCTTTTAAAATCAGGCTAACAAAGAAAGGGGTAAGAAATCATGCCTCTCAAGTACCAAACATGTGGCTAGCATTGCACTATTCCGGCTTTTGCTTCCTCAAAGCCTTCAGTTTGACTCCTCAACTATCATTGATACAGAAGAACACTTTAGGATTCCATTCTCATTCCTAAAGCAATTCAATATCAATTATACCCTTTGATTTCCTTTAGTGTGCCTTAATCCAATTTCAAGTTTCGTAAATCATTTCATGTTTCAATCATCATTCCAAGGATTTTGATTCCAAAAAGTGGATTAAATATGCTAATCCATCTACTCTAGATCCTCAAATGAAGCTAATTTGGGTTCTCTTCGAAAATCGAGGTCAAAATAGGGCTTCCAAAATAAATCACCCATTTCCCCTTATCAACCGGTTGACTACGCTTGCAAGTGCACAAGTCGTACAAGTAATAATGTGGTCCGAAGACCGATATCGTCCCACGAGGATTAACGTTAAGAATATAAACTAACTATTGTGAATATCATATCTTAACTTTATCTAAGCGATCAAATTTGGATGTGATAAACTCAAAGAAAAACTAAAATAAAGGAAAACTAAATCAAAAGGAAAGATGACAGTAATTAATAATACGTGCTGAAATTAGAACGAAAAATCAATATGATAAAAAAGTTAGGGTCTTGACTTCACTCTATTGTGATTATGTTTCTCTGTAGTAATGTGCCTAACCTAACTCAACGTTCTCAAGAACTTAGAGTGATGTATATCCTTATACCTTTTCTCGAGTGCCGCATAAAGAATGTGTAGGTGATATCAAGCCTATATCTCTATACAACTATTCATCCCTACCTTCATTAAGTTCCACTCTAGAAACAATTCCTGGAATTCCACTTCTCAATTTCACAACCTAAAATTGTTTCGGTTACCTAGGCAATGTTTATCTCTCGATCTCACACCAACCTAAGTTGTTCTATCCGTTTCTTGATTGCTTAAACGTTCCCCTCTCGAGTATTAATCCTCACAATAAAAATAAGCCCAATTCAAAATCTCATAAAGCATGGCAATATGTAAATCATAGATTTAGCAGCAATAATTCAAAATAGAACACGAAAGAAACGAAGAGCTTAATTAAATGCACATTAAAACGTCAAAACAATAATTACAAATAGAGATTCATCTAAACCCTAACAAATAAGAAAATTAGCCACACATCATGTGTTTCACAATCTCAAAATAATATTCAAAACCCAGAAAAATACAAGAAGAAAGAAAATAAGAGAATGAAGAACGCTTGGAATTCTTGAAGAATCGCTGGAATTTCCCTCGAATCCTTTTCGATTCAGTTTTTCTTCTTTTGCAAACCCTTTTTCTCTCTTCTTCCTTCAGTTTTCGGCCTCTCTTCCTTATATTCCACGTCCAGCACCCCTCCAAGAAGCCAATTCTCACTTTCCATAAAAGTCCCCGCACCAAACTAGGGCAAAACGCGTGTTTCTAATAAAATCGGGTAACTCAGGCGACATATCCCCTAGAATAGGCGACATATCGCCTAAAGGAGGCAACATATCTCCACAAAGGAGGCGACATATCGCATCCCTCTCTAGTCCTTAGCACATGTTTGCTCAATTTTGCTCCTTTTCGAGTTGCATCGCCATCTGAAGGTGCCATATCGCCTCGTTCTTTGTCTTTTTGATCCAAAATGCCTCAAAACTCAGCGATTTCACCCTTTCCTATTCACTCAAGGGAAAGTCATCAAATCCACATAAAAACTTGACGAAAAACACGCCGAAACTAGCTAAAGGAGTAACAAATGAGTGCATAAATTACGCACTCATCAAGGGTTGAACCCCAAGAGCCAGTAAGGGGTGAGATGGGGCACCGAGAAATGGTCCCAAGGGAACCATTGTATGTGAGGTTTAAGAGAATGGCACCTCCAGAGTTCGATGGGTCAACAGATCCACTCGAAGTTGAGGAATGGTTAGCATCCATTCTGACAGTGTTTGAGTTTATGGAACCAACTGATAGGGAGAAGATTCAGTGCGCTGCTTTCGTATTAAAGAAGGATGCCCGCTATTGGTGGCAGGCATCAGTGTGCACCAGAAGGAATGTGAGACAGATGTTGTGGGATGAATTCCTATGGGAATTTAACCGTAAGTATTACAACTTAGAAGCCCTGAAGACTCAGCAGAATGAGTTCAACAATTTTAAGCAGGGTGACCAAACAGTTGTAGAAGCATGCCGACGATTTGATCAGTTGGCACGACTATGTCCTCAGTTGGTTCCAACAGAGGAAGAGAAGGTTAGGAGGATGGTTAATATGCTCCGAGGAGATATAGCCACCATTGTGGAAAGTGGGGAGTATCCACCAACCACGGTAGCCAATCTAGTGAATTGGGCAATACGTACGGAGCAGAACATTGCCAAATCTAGAGAGGAATGGGCTAAGATGTGGGAAGACAAGAAGAAACAGAGAGAAAAGGTGCAGGCACCCACTAAGCAAAGCCCCGGTGCTAATCCGCAAAGCTAAGGAAGCCGTAGTGACTAGGGATCGAAACCTGGACAGGGGAACCAGCAAAACCCTAACAAGAGGAAAAGGAATCGCAATCAGAATCAGCGAAACCCCCAACAGAAGCAGGACCAGTATACCAGTCCTAGTGTTCCTATCTACCTGACCTGTGGAAAGAAACACTCCGGAGAATGTAAAGCCGGCACAGATGTATGCTATACGTGTGTACAGAAAGGACATTATGCAAGGCAGTGTCCGTTCAAAGCAGGATCTCCTGGAAAGGCTCCACAAAGGCCACCAGTTCCACAATTCCACGCCATACAAGCGCAGAGGGTATTCTCGACCCCTCAGCTGAACAGAGTAGAAGCTGCTCCACAGGCCAATGCTCACTTAATGACATACACCAAGGAGGAAGCTGAGGCAGGCACGTCCAACGTAGTGACAGGTTAGCTTACTGTTCCCCATGTCCCTACCCGAGTATTGTTTGATTCAGGGGCCACACATACATTTGCATCAGTAGAATTTGTTAAACAAATACTACATCCTCAAGAGAGGATAGGGCAAGCCATTAAGACAGCACTACCATCAGGTGATGTGTTGTTGTCTAGTCACTGGCTGCGTCACGTACCAGTAGAGATAGCACGAAGAGAAGTAAGTGCAGACCTAGTTGT